TTAATAAGCTAAGTCTAATTTAAAACAACAACGCAACAAAAAATTCTGAAGGGAAGACACACGATATTCTAGAATGATGCAGGTATAAAGACTATGATGTCAACCCTAATCAAGTGATTGGATGAGCGTTTTAAAAGCATTGAAAAGAGAAACCTCTTTATATACTGACGAGGCTGGTTGACTCACAATTTAAAACTAAATTCTACTCATTACAGGCAACACTGACAGCTGAAAAAACAAGATTGAAGTCAATCTGAGCATGCTGAACAGAAGATTGACAAAACTGAAGAAAATCCACCAAAATAAGCCGGGCTTAATAATTTTTTTACATCATCATCATCATTACTCTGGCAATTTATTGATAAAATTATTCAGTCTACGTCCGCTGGTGGCAGGGCACATAAACAACAATTACTAAAAGGCATTGAAACTCAGCTAAGGAAATATCCAAAAGAACCAGAAATAAATAGACACAATGATCCACTACAGTGACGGAGTGACAAAATCCCGGAAAAAAAGTTCAATAGAATTACTATAAACTTTTAAAACATATGGCCTATAGAATTTCTTTAGAATTTCTATTAATTTATATATAGAAATTGCTATAAAACTTTTTAAATAACAACAATGAAGTTTAACAGAAAACAGCAGTCACTTGGTATTCTGAATAGTCCACATTGTTGACCATGCTCAACACCAATTAGGGATGTACAGGATCTTGGCTCCTGTAGTTTTGCTTTGAAATTGAAAAAATTAAATCCAGTACAGCCCTAATATATATATATAATTATATATATTATATATATATATATATATATACATATATATCAGGCTTTCCCAGAAAAGGCGTGCGGTCGCACGCCTTGTTTGTCCACGCATAGAATAAGTTTTTCAGAAATCGTGACCGCGGCAATATTTCGTGTGAAAGCGGAAATTATTCTCAGAGAATAAAAAATAATATTAAAAAAAGGAAACGAAGTCTAAACAAAGTATAAAATTGAAATTGGATGTAAGAAAAATATTTTGATAATAAAAAAAAAAAAAAAAAAAAAAAAATTCTTGTAACAAAAAAAAGTCTTGAACATTTTTTTCAAACTTTTTATACTGTTTTTGTTTGCTTTTTTAAGGGTTGCTATTTTCAGCTACGAAATTTGATATAAGTCAAGGGAAAGACGACGATAAGTCGTAAAGTTTTCATGAAAATAAAAAGACTTGATATGTAATTTATTCACGAACTTTATCAGACAATGTATTAAAAAACTGGTTCATTATTTACGCTAGACAAATTTGGTTAAACTTTTTCATTTACTTTAGTTTTTACGAAAGTTTATGTAAAGGCGTTGACTTTATTCCCCAATACTTTGACAAGAAAATAAGTTGCTGTTTTAATTATTAAATATATTATTTCAGATTTTAAACATAACAAAATTTTAATGTGAAAAAAGTTCTTTCTCGACTTATTCTAAACTGATTATACTGAGTCAATGCTCGCCTTTTATTATGTTGAAATTATTCAATTGCATAATTTTGTAATTACGAAAGAAGTTAAAAAAATAATTGCATTGCTTCTGTTGTCATTGTTACAAAAACAGTTCCTTCGGGACATTATTATATATTAACACTCGTTCACAATGTCAATTAATGATTGCAAAATAAACAACTCAATTGTTTGACAATAAAATTTTCTTCCGTTTAAAAAAAACAACAACATATTTTACTAATAAATAGCAATCGTTTTCGTGTTTTCTTGTGTATGAATACATTCAAACATTTAAATCAATACACTTAAACATTTAAATGTATTTACGTAACATTTAAAAATTGTTTATAGTTCTATCGTTAATTTTAAAGTATTACTGACTGATAAAAGTCATAAACAAATTTACATTAAAAGGTCCTTTTATTTTCTTTAAACATTAATCTTTTTCTCTTTGATTTGATTTTTCTTATTGATTTGATTTTTCATAGCTAAAATAACTATCACCCTAAAAAAATAAATAAATAAAATGTAGGTAAATTTTTTTTTAATAATATACATTAATTTTTTAATTTTAAAGCACAAACAGGTTTCTGTTATTTACTTTAAGATTGCTTGCATTTTTGCGGTATTTTCGTTTAGCTTTGTTTTGGCGCGAATTCTTGAAACGCATAATAATAAAACGTGGTCAGTTAGTCAGAAAAACTTATTCTATGCGTGGACAAACAAGGCGTGCGACCGCACGCCTTTCCTGGGAAAGCCTGATATATATATATATATATATATATAAATATATATATATATATATATATAATATATATATATATATATATATATATATATATATATATCCGGACAAAATGTCCGACCAAAAGTTATTTTGGTCGGACATTGTCTGATCAAATTTTCGAAATAAAATTTAAACAAATAATTTTCACCAATATTTACATATATTCATATTTGTTTCGTTAAAAGGAACACAGGAAAAAGATAGTTCTTTAAATGCCGAGAGTAAAAAAGTACTGCAGATGGGTTTTTTTAGACTAGCTTCTGGCTTATCTGAGTTTTACAGAACCCAAATATCCAATCAAAATATGT